GGCTATTTAACAAGGAAATGGAAAAAAGAGAAAGGCTTATTCGTAGCCTAAATGGGAAAGGAAAGTCCATAGTGGAGAGTATAATGGATCAAAGGGAAATGATCAACTTTGATGCTCCTCCTATTGGTGATCCAAAATAATCTGTGTGATTTTAGTATGGCCACAATGGTGCATTGGATGAGAAGCTACCCCTAAGTACCTAAAAGAAGTGAGAGAGGCCAAGGGAAAAGTGTCTGGCTCATCATCTGGTATGTACTATACTATATTGAAATAAATAACACTTATATTTGAAAATATGGGATCCTTGATACAAGATGTGGTTTCCACATTTCTTGTGATATGTTAGGACTAAGTTAAAGTGAAGAGGTCGACCATATGAAGTTGAAACTGGTCATGTGGAATATGCGAAAGTCGGGTGTTACTAGGATTGGGACTTATAAGCTTATGTTTAATAGTGTTAGGGTTGATTTGAACAATTACTATTATTTGTCAGAAATTACTAGAAACATAATTTCATTTCATGTTTTATTTTGATAAGGATGTCATTATGATTTTCATGATAATGATAGTGCAATTTTTGTTTATAAATTGGCACATTTAATTTCAAAGCTTATCCTTGTAATGGTGTGTATGAAACTGTTGTGTATGTGAATGAACTTGGAAATAGTGTTTATAGTATTGATTCTTCTAATAGTTTAGACAAGGCGTACTTATGGTATTGTTATATTGAGCACATTAACACAAAACACATTGCCCAACTTCAAAAGAATGGAGTGTTGGAATCGTTTTACCTTAAATCTGACGATGAATGTGAGTCTTGTTTATTGGGCAAGATGACTAAATTACCTTTCACATGTACGAGTGAAATAAGTGAAGAAGTATTATACCTCATCCATACTGATGTATATGGTCCTTTCAGATCAACCACAAGAGATGCTAATCCCTATTACATGGTGTTTAATGATGATTTTAGTAGATATTTGTATATCTACTTAATCAAAATAAATAAAAAACTTTTGAAAAGTTCAAAGAGTTTAAGCATGACGTAGATAATCAAATCAGAAAGAAGATAAAGATGCTCTGATCTGATATAGGTGGAGAATATATTAATATCGATTATAACGACTTTGTTTCACAATTCACACCTCCTAGGACACCACAACTTAATGTTGTAGCTAGGAGGTGTACTCGAACTTCACTGGATATGGTTCGTTCCATGATGATTCGATCTTTACTCCCTATATCATTTTGGGGGTATGCCATAGAGACAGTTGCTCATATCATCAGTCTTTTTCCTAGCATGAAGGTTTCCAAAACACCTCATGAGATGTGGACATGGAAACCTCCCTCACTCACACATATCAAGGTCTGGGTTGTGACACACTCGTTAGGCGCGAGACGTATGAGAAAATTGTACCCTTAGCCAATAAATTTATTTTCATTGGTAATCTACATAAGTCTTTTGGATACTTGATCTACAAACCTAGTGAGTAGTGACAACGTGGTCTTAATTGCTCGAAAGGGAGTCTTTGGCAATAGAGAGCTCGCTTATATTAAAAGAGGAAAGTAGGAATACAGTGATCATGAAGAAATTCAAGAATCATCCAATTAATGAACCTTTGGTGACAGTGGCTCTCAACTTAACATTGAACATGTTGAGCACAATGACAATTCCTTACCACTTTGTGGATGTAGTAGAGTCAGTATGACACTTGAGTTTTATGGTTCCATATAACAACGGATGGGGACACGTTTATCAATGATAGTACACTTGTCAATTTGGATGAGCTAGCTAACTAGAAGGAAGCAATGGTAGGCCCTGAATCTCCAAAATGGAAAGAGACAACATATAACAATATCCAATCCATATATATTAACCAGATGAGGAATTTGGTTGATCACACGCTTGATCGAAAGATAGTAGGGTGAAAATGGGTATTCAAGAAGAAGACTGACATAGATGGTAATGTATAGACTCCCAAATGAAGTTTGATTTCAAAGGTCTTTACTCAAACTCAAGGGGTTGATTATGATGAGACCTTTTTACTAGGTACCAAATCAAGTCGATAAGGGTAATGCTTTCCATAACTACTTATCATGAGTTTGAAGTATGGCAAATGGATGTTAAAACTGATTTACTTAATGGGAAACAGATTGAGGATGTTACATGGCTTGACTAGAAGCTTTTGAACAAGACAAATTCCCTAATAGTGTGTGTAAGCTTGAGAAGTCTATATATGACTTGAAACAAGCATCTCATAGCTGACATCTTTGCTTCCATGAAAAGGTCAAAGAGTTTGGATTTTATAGAAGTAAAGATAAGTCCTACGTGTATATCAAAGCTGGTGGGAGTGTAGTAACCTTGCTAGTATAGTATGTTGATGATATACTCCTTATAGGAAACATTGTACCAACTTTGCAAGAAATGAAGTCTTGGCTTGGGAAATGTTTCACTATGAAGGATCTAAGAGAGGCTACGTACATTCTTGGAATAAGAATTTATAGAGACAGAAAAAGATGTTTACTTGGGCTAAGCCAAAGTACTTTGTTCAAATATTGAAATTGTTTAATGTGGAGAATTCCAAGAAAACAGATTTACCCATGCATCATATTGTAAAATTGAGAAAGGATTAATGTCCCAATAGTGATAAGGAAACGGATACTCTGAGTCGAATCCTATATGCTTCTGCAATAGGATTGATCATGTATGATATGACCCATACTCGACCTGATGTGGGTTATGCTTTGAGCATAGTTAGCAAATATCAGTAAAAGCCTAACATGCTTATTCGACAGCTGTGAAAGACATTCTTAAGTATTTTCGAAAAACAAAATATATGATCTTAATTTTTAGTGGAAAAGGTGATCTTTAGGTGAATGGATATAGTGATGCCAGTTTTCAAATAGATCGAGATAACAATTATTCATAATCTGTTCGGGTATATCAATTGAATGGTGGAGCGGTAACTTCGAAGAATTCCAAGTAGCAGATGGTTGCTAACTCTACTTGTGAATCAAAGTATATCTTAGAAAGCGAGGCAGAAAATGAAGAAATGCGGTTGAAGAATTTCATTAGAGATCATGGAGTTCTATCAATTCGAGAGACAACGGAGATATTCAATGAAAATGAGGGTGCAATTATTTTGACAAAAGGACCAAAGAATCATGGTAGATCAAGTCACACCAAAAGGAAATATCATTACATTAATCATAAGGCAGAAGAAGGCATACTCATGGTGAATCATGTATCATCATAGGATAATCCTTCTGATCCTCTCAAAAAGGTTTTAAAAAAGATTAAGCAATTTGTTGGGACACATATTTGTGAAGGTTTGATGATGCAAAATATAGTTGATATAGTTATAGTTTATCTGCCCATTGTAGACAACCAATCTTGTCTAAGTAAGTATAAATAATGTAACTTAGATGAGTTGAACTGTCATAGTTTGTTTATATAGTTAATCTGATGCTATGCTGATAGAAGTTCATATGTCGAAGACTTAACATCATCCTCTGATGAGCAAAAGACACTAAAGGCGCTATCAACACCAAAGGCACTGAAACTACTATCAGCACGAAGAGCATTCACTAAAGACCTGATCAGTGTGTCTATACACTAAAGTCCTTAAATTGATGACACGCTGATAAGGTGATACGTTAAAGACAAGTTGATGACATATTTGGCCCTGATGGAGTTAATCATGTGAACCAACTAAAAGCACTATCAACATGAAGAGCATCATTCATCTAAGATTTATTAGTGTGTCCAGATGCTAGTTTTTTTTACAATGATGACACACTGATCATATGATATTATGATGATTCACAATGATGGTTATACACTACTGAAGTCGAAGCTACTCTAGCTGAAGTTGAAGTTGATCAGTATGACTCCTTGATGTTAATGCCCCTGATCAGCGTATGATGTGCTGGTGTTTATATCCAAATCTAGAGCATATCAGAATTACATGGTGAAGAAGCATGCTAAATATATGATCTAATCCATTCCTTAAAGACTAGATCTACATTTATAATTGATAATTTAGTCCACTCAAATCAAGGATTTGATTTAAACGAAGATCTGATGTATTTATAGAATTCTTATCTTCTAGGTTTAGGCTAGTATTTATACTAGCCTCCCTCATTAGTTGAGAGTTGATTATTTGTATTGTTTCTGAGAGATATAGATTTATGTAGAGATAGATTTAGAGTTCTTGGTGATTTCTGAATCATTGTACTTGTTCTCTTTGTGAGAGCATTATTCTTTATGAAAAACCCGATTTATAATTTTAGTAATTATATGTCAAATACATGTGTTATTATTCCTCGTTTTTATTAGATTCATACATAAGTGTTAGGGTTTAGGACCTTTAAGTGGTATCAAAGTAGTCTAGAATATTCGTTCTAAGATCAGTTGAGGATTTACAAATTTAATCACTATTTAGAAACTCGTAAATCATAAGAAGAAGAAGAAGAATAAGAGATCTTATACAATACTACAAAATCAGAGAAGAGAGAGTATGGTATGTTTTCTTATCTTTGGTACTATCTAACTGCATCAAGTATGTATGGTTCTTATAATATCTTTTGGATGAGAGAAAATTTTTTATGAGGAAGGATCAACAAAGAAACAAAAGTTTGTGATGAAAGAGAAAATAAAGAAAGTTAGAAAAATAAAAGGGTTGTTGATGTAAGTCCTTTATCATCTTTTCCAAACTGATGTATAATCCAAAGGCACCTCTATCTCTGTTATTCACTACTGAGACAAAATCATCAATCAGAATCAAGAAGATATGGAAGTGTTGAAGAAGAAAATGATAGAAAAGGAGAAGGAGATATTAGATATGAAGGAGAATATTGAAGAAAAATATGTTTAGAAGAAAAGTTCTTCATATATTGGTGTTCAAAATGAAGGAACATCTAATGAAAACCCATTTTCAAGAAACCCTAGTTTTGACCTTGATAAGCATCATAGTAGCTCTTGCACCAATAAGCCTCACATGAATATGACTCATGCTGAGAAACCACAAACTGATCATACTCGAAAAGCTTTATCTAAAACCATTACCATTCTCAAACAACCTACTCCCTTAGTGTCTCCTCACATTCGAATGTCTTCAGAGAAATCTCGCGCTAATAAGACATGTTACATTGTCAAGACATCACATGATGCTAAGTCAGTTTGCACTAACAAGGTTGTTCACACTGCCAAGTTAGTTCACATTGACATGTCGAGTCTTGCTGCCAAGAAATTTCACATTGCCACTCCAGTTCATGTGGCCAAGAAGTCTCACACTATTCAAATATCACACCCTGACCAATCAGTTCACAATGTTAAGTTTGTTCAAACTAACAAGACATTTCGCATTGTTAAGCTATCTCAAGTAGCGAACACTTCATCTTACCCCATCAAGACTCAAGCTCCAACTCCAACTCCAAACATTAAAAGATCTCATGCTGGTAAACTTCCTGATGTATGTTCTTGTTTCAATAGTTCTTTTTACAGGGAAAAACAAACTAAGAAAATGAAGTTGAGTGAATATTCAAAGAAGACGTAGGTTCCAAAGAAGCGATCTCCAGAACCTAGGAAGATAAAGAAAGTTAAGGTTGCCACGAGTATATCTCCTAAACTTGAAACAAAGCTAGTTATTGGAAATAGAAATAAACATTATAATCAAAAGTCTCCAAGAATGAAGAAGAAGGGTTCGAAAGCTCAAGCTGGCTGTTCTACATCTGACTAGAATTTTTCAGGAGTAAGGTATGTTTCAAAACCCAATCTCAAATAAGCTCCGAAGTTTTTTTGTTAAATTTGATGAAATGAGAGACTCCAAATTCAAAAACTTCATATCTAGTTGTTTCTCTCATTTAAAACAAAAAAAGCATAGCTATCATTTCTTTAAATTGAAAAGATTTCTAGAAGATTTTTTTGGGGGCTTTGCATGTAGAATGACATGAAAATTCATTAAATAGGTTATGTCTTTACCTATTGATTCATATATTATTTGTACATATATATGTCATGTCTTGGTCAAATCTCAGGTTGGTAGATGGCTCGTACAAGATCTCTTTACTGTTGCTTTTCTCAAATTAAAAAGGTTAAAGCCTACAAGTCTTCTACCCTAATTTTGTAACTCTCTCACATTGTTTAGGTAAAATGTATTTCTTGTTTGGTTCTCCAAAAAAAAGACAAACTTATGTCAAAAGTAATCGTATGGATAAAGTTGCCTTGTCTCATATTTAAATTCAAGTAAACTTATGGGCCTATTAGGAATGTGTGTTGCTAATAAGAGACCCTTAGATACTCTATTCTCACTTTTTTTAAAAATCAACATATAATCAACTATCTATAATAAGTATTTTCGAAAACAACGAAACTTCACCTAATAAAATCTTTCAAAAATTAATTAGGGTGTCGGCATCTTCTTGGGGCATAACATTCATGAAGTTGTTTCAGAAAGGTATTTTGGTCTCAAAAAGCAAATGAAAAAGAGAAATTGTATGAATCTGGCCTTCTCTTACGAAAGCTACAAATCTAAAAAGAAAAGGAATCGCGAAAAAGAATAAGTTGTAGTAGGGTATTTCAGTCATTGTTTTAAAAAGAGTGTACGAATGGTTCATTCTCATTGGTAAAGAAGAAATATAATTTTCATAATCTACTGCTGGAAACATGATGTGTGATGTGTGTGTAGTTACAATCTTCAATGTTGTCAAACTTATTCCTCCTATTTGCTTATGTGGGCCCATGTAAAGATTATTATCTCTTGCCACTTTCGAAAATACTATGGAAGGAATACTCAACATTACTCATATCTCCTACATAAATGTCATTAGCATGTTAAACGACATTATGGATAGTTTGGTCTGTTAAAAGCAAGGTTTCTTCATTTTATAAAAGATTGATAGTGACATATCTTCAAGCATTGGTATATAAACTACAAGAAAATTGGGCATTTACCCACACATGTTATGTATAGGTACATGTCACTTATGTATTTGTAGTGGTTTTTCTCCTACACTACGTGTCATTATGAGTTGGTTCATGTCAGTTGATAAATATCATTACCTACATATAAGTTATGTGTGGGTATAGAAACGGATATACCTACACATATGTGTGTGGCTAAACTAATAAGCATGTGTATGTAGAAGTGCTCTTTAATATGTGTAGGTAAAAATAATTATATGTGTAAGTAATAATCATATCTAGGTAATTAGACTCAAATATTGGTCGATTTTTCATTATTCATTGCCATAACATAAAAATTAGGCGAATGCCCGCGTGTTGCGCAGTGGGATAATTATGTAGTTCAATATGGTTATATATTGTTTAATGTATTGTGAATAAGTAATACATAAAACTTGTATGCGATTAAATAGCATGTATATTTTTTTGATTTACATATTTTTTTATCATAATAAACAATGAAATTTTTTTACTAGTAGTTTGAAATTTTAAATGTAATTTTTATGTACACATTAGTATCTAATGTAATTAGTTGATGATTGATTAGATATGGATTATCATTTGTGGTCGTAAATTTATGTTGAACCTCATAAAAATACATATTTAACGACTTTTGTTAGTTTTAGACAAAATTACAAAGATGGTCCGTATGGTTTGCCAAAAGTAACAAAGTCAGTCCCTGCTAATTTTTTTTATGCAAATGGCCCCTGTGGTTTGCAAAACTTGCATAGATGGCTATTACTATTTTGTCGTTAGGGACTGAATCTGTAAGGGCATTTTCGTCTTTTCAAGTAAAAATGGACTGAATTTGTGACATTTACTAAACCCAGGAACCATTATTGAAATTTCTTTGAAAAAAACAATTAAATTGCTAGGGGGAGGGCTCGAACTCATGACCTCCACTCTTTAAATTACCAAAGCCTTAACTAATTGAGCTGAATGGCCTTTTAGTTTATTCTTTCTTGAAACTAATTTATATATTTACAAAATCGTTAAAACATAAACAATAATTAATTATAAAAAAAAATTTACATAATTTTTTTTAAACAAAACAAAATGTATTTTAGTCGTACTATAAAAAAAATAGTTTTTTACAAACAAATTGTATGTATTTTTATGTATTTATTTTACGTAAAATATATATTTTTTGTCTTTAAAAAATATGTTTTCATATAAAAAATAATTTTTTTAAAAAAAAATGTTTTTTTATGTCTTTGAAATAGTACTAGTTAGCACTACTCATGACATAAAAAAATGAACAAAATTTTTGGGTCGCTAGTTCTAAAACCGTTTTTTCAGTTATATGTATTAAAAACAAATTAACAACAATTTTGTTATGTATCTAAACAATTTATATGGTTTTTTATGTCAAGAGTAGTATTAATAATTGTTATTTCAAAAAGATATATCACTGTGTCTTTCAATCTTCATTTTAAACTTACGATTTAGAACTTGTGATTAAGATGAAATACGTATTTTAAATAAGATATATAACCTATATGTTTTTTTTTTAAATACATATAAAAAACCATACGTATCTTAAATAAGATATATACATATTCGGTTATATGTATTTTAACCGAATAGATTCGTTATGTATCTAAATAATTTATATGGTTTTTTATGCTTTTTATATGCAATTTAGAACCATACGTATTTTAAATAAGATATATACATATTTGATTATATGTATCTAAACAATTTATACGTTTTTTTTTTCTTTTTTAAATACAATTTAGAACCATACGGATTTTAAATAATATATATATATATATATATATATATATATATATATATATATATATATATATATATATTCGCTTATATGTATCTAAACAATTTATACGGTTTTTTATGTTTTTTTAAATACGATTTAGAACAATATGTATTTTAGATAAGATATATATGTATCTGGTTATATGTATCTAAACAATTTATACGGTTTTTTTTTTTTATATTTTTTTAAATACGTATTTCATCTTAATCGCAAGTTCTAAGTCATATGATTAAAATAAAGATGGAAAGACAAGACACAGTGATATATTTTTTTGAAATAACAATTATTAACACTACTCTTGACATAAAAAAACCGTATAAATTGTTTAGATACATAACAAAATCGTTCTTAATTTGTTTTTAATATATATAACCGAAAAAAAGGTTTTAGAACTAGCGACGCAAAACAATTTATACATTTTTTATATCATGAGTAACGTTAATTATTACTATTTTAAAGACATAAACCAACATTTTTTACAAAAACGTATTTTTTATACGAAAATATATTTTTTGAAGAAAAAAGTATATATTTTACGTAAAATAAATACATAAAAATACATACAATTTGTTTGTAAAAAACTATTATTTTATAGTACGACTAAAATACATTTTGTTTTATTTAAAAAAAATATGTAAAAAAATGTTTTTTATAATTTATTTATTGTTTATGTTTTAACAATTTTGTTAATATATAAATTAGTTTTAAGAAAGAATAAACCAAAAAAGCATTCAACTCAATTAGTTAAGGCTTTGGTAATTTAAGGGGTGGAGGTCAGGAGTTCGAGTCCTCCCCGTAGCAATTTAATTGTTGTTTTCAAACAAATTTCAATAATGGTCTCTGTGGTTTAGTAAATGCCACAATTCAGTCCCTTTATACTTGAAAAGAAGAAAATGCCTAACAGATTCAGTCCCTAACGGCAGAATAGTAACGTCGTTAGTAAAAAGGGTCATCTATGACAGTTTTGCAAACCACATGGGCCATTTGCATCAAAAAAAATTAGTAGGGACTGACTTTGTTACTTTTGGCAAACCATAGGGACCATTCTTGTAATTTTGTCTTACTTTTATTATTGAATAGAAAATGATATCGTATTTTAAGTAAATATAAAAAATCTCATTCTCAATCTATTTTAAGATAGTGAGATATTTGAAGTTAATATAAAAACTCATATTCTAGAACTAATGAAAAGAAAAAACATAACCAAATTTTTTAATTGTAATAAAGTTGATTCCAATTAAAAAGTACTCAATCGAAGATAATATCATTCAATAAACATCATAAGATATTACGTTATATTTAAATTACAGACATCTTTTTTGTAAGAATCATTCAAAATATATGAAACTATAGTGCCTAATACAACAATGTAATAACCAAATGATCCTAACATATTTTAAATGAAATATAATTATAATATATTATCTATGCAACTAATATGGTATTCTTCTAATATGTGGGATTCGTCTACTATATGACCTAACTATGTAGGATTCGTCTACTATATGGTATTTTTCTAATATATTATATTATAGTATAAACATTGTATTTGGAAAACCACTTTGAGTTATATTGTAGTTTATAACATTAAGTTTGTGATGGACTGTATTTGACACATATATGTGTATTTACATATATATTATATATTTAAAACAAATCTTATATAAACATCCAACCTAAATATTCATCTTGAAGTTTTCTTTCTTCGCCACGTAAACAAACTTTTGTTATAAAGCCAAAAATGAAATAAAAGACACTTAATTGTATGATCATGATATATTGTATTTTGATTGGGGCTTGTACAAAACATTCATGAGCATATATTATTAATTTATCTCTTGTTTTGGGTAATTTAACTAAGATAACTTCAAATCCAACGTATCAAATAGATTACCCATTTACTAAAGTCTAAAACCCAAAAACTCAAACATGTTCTAATACCATACAAATGTATGAGGTTTTAACAAATTATTATCTCATATGAATTACCATTGATTATG